AAATACCCTTTAGGTGAACCTTTGCTGAATTAATGAAGTTGCTACAAAATCACCTAACACCAAAATGAAATATCCTAACAGAACAGCATAAATTTTTGTCCAGAGTACAACATAATGGTGAGTCCATTTCAAATTACGTGACTTCATTAAAACAACTCTCGAAAATTTTAGATTTCAAGTCTAGTTGTAACAATGCGATGAAGGCTCTGAAAGACATTACAAAAGAAGCATACCAGGACTGTTTCAACAAGTGGAAACACCGTTGGGATAAGTGTGTGTGTTGGGAAGGAGAGTACTTTGAAGGGGACCCAGACATGTAACTTCTACATAAAGTACATTTTGTTTTATGATGTCAGTCTGCATATTTTTTGAACAGACCTTGTATTGATGTTTCTATATTATTATTCAGTTTTTGAGTTGGTTGTATTATATAGTTTTCTTTAGTTATTACTAATTAAAGTTTTAATTAAATTAAAACTAAAAATTAAAAAAAAATATATATTGAAAATAGACATATTTAAAACTGGGATGAAATTTTAACACAAATAAAAAAAATATATATTTCATTACATTTAAAATCTTTGGCAACAACATTGTAGTTTTGACCAGTATCAAACATTTAAGAAGTCAGAAATTATTTTAAAAAACTGAGGGTAGGTATTCTGTTTTAAGATGAATCCAATTAACTATAAACTATTCTATAATATGAGAATTAGTGAGATTGGCAAGTTTAATCATTATTCAAGTTTAAGAGGTTAATTTAGAATTGACATGTGGTGAATACCGATTTTAACTTTGAGTATTTTGTTTTTAGTAAATTTATTAAACAATGACACACTAAATGATGTTATTCTTTTATAGTTTAACTATTTCATTTTTTAATAATTACATAAAAAATTAGATGTACAGATACTATTGTTTTAAATATAGGAGGGTGATCAAGTTTCAACATTTTCAATTGAAAATAGACAAGCAGGAGTTAATAGGGTAAATATATTTGTCTAAATAGAATTATTTTAAATTATATACAGTAGAGCATCGATTATCCAACCCCCGATCAACCGTCACATCGGTTAACCGACCACGTTCTAGTCGGCAAATTCAAATGTCCGTTAGTGATGTGGCGCTACAATATTTGGCTATGTCTTGGCTACTTTAATAGTATTTTTATGTTTTAGCTGGCAACACTGGCTCAACCATGAAAGGGAGCCAGTATTTAAACGACGCTTAATTTTGTAATTTTTAACGATACAATAGCAACGATTATTATTTTAAAAAATTTTTGTTAGGCTTAACATTGATGAAAATTCAATGCGAAGTAGGTTAATACTAATTACATGGGATATACTAATATACTATACTAATAATGTATTTTTTCATATTTTTTGGTTATTCATTTTTTCAGTTATCCGACCAACCCCAGTCCCCAATTGAGTCAGATAATCGATGCTCTACTGTAATTTAATATTCATTTGTTCCAGTGTATATTTATATAATAATTCTATTAACTGCTTTTAAATTCTGTTATATCTGAAGTGGTAATTTAAGTAATTTATTTTTTAATTTTAATTTACTATAAAGTCTGTATTTTTTTTGCAGTCAAAACACAACCAATAATATATGTCTGAATTTCTAAATAATGACAAATATTATTATTCATAAATATTATAATAATAGATTTATAATAGATCAGTGATTTTTGGATTTTGCTTATAGTATAAGTAAGTATAATCTTCAAAATTTGTCAAAGCCAATAAATAATTTAAAACAGTACATCACAAAATCAATGATACACTTTTTAATAAATTTTATTTTATTGATAAATGGTCAATAAAATAAAATTAATAAAGTACTTAAACATTTTCTAACATGACAGCTTGTTTGGTAAGAGGAATCTGCAAGAAAAAGATGTATTGTTTTAACGTTGTAAATGTTATTGTGAAATTTAAGAATTTAATAATTTTTAGCTGTTTACTGTCATTATAGTAAGGAAAAGTGAATGAATTTTATTATGGATATTGTTGTAATGAGTAAGCTTAATCAACAGCAAAAAATTATTTTTCAAAGTCTTAAATTTCAAGGTAAAGGTTGCATTTTTGAACCAACAGGTTTTTTTTTTTACTTGGAGATAATGTTTATTTATAAATCATAGATATATAGAGAGAGAGATCTATTTTCATATACTGTTACCCATTTAATAGTCTGTTTCTTTAAGAAAGAAAGTAACAGGAAATGGTAATATATTAATAAAATAAAAGTTATATAAGTTCATTGGATCTTATTTTTCGACAGTTTAGTGGATCTTTCTTTATGCTCTAAAATAACTTTCCTGGCTTGTGGTCAGGAATGAATTCCTGTAATCTTTACTGATATGAAAGACTCGGATCCATTAGAAGACCCCATAATAATAGCAGAAAATTTGGTTTTCGTTGTTAAATCATCCATGTATTCGGTGCAATCCACCTGAGTGTTATGACGTTTTGAATTATAATAACGACGATCGATATCTGAAATCATTTCTTTTGTTTCTTTTTCCATTTCTTCTCTATCGGGAAGGAATACATTCTTTTTGAGAACTTTTACAAAACACCTGCATTGCATTTCAGAAATACGAAATGCACCTCTGTAAGGCTGAAATAAATCAATGGATGCTTTAAATGAAAAGGAAATCTTAATAATGAACTAAATGATCTAAATTCCTCTCTTTGACGATTAATAACAAAAATGTATTTTGACATTTTCGGGTGTTGTTTTTTTTAATATAAAGCCAGACAGTTGCTTCATAAGTTCACAGAGTTTGGTGAATTTCGGTTCAAGTATGGAAAAGTAACCCGTGTTCAAATAAAGGAACCATATTTACCCCACTACGTTACCTACCTCTTTGATTGACTACTGTAACTGCATGCCTGGTTTCTCTACCGATTGAACCAATTGTCCTTCCTTTTCGTTCATATGTCAGCAGTTACGCTGCCATCGCAAATTTTCAACTTTTATGTAACTATTTCAAATATATTTTTATTATCCGAATCAAACAACTCACCGTCATTCCAACGCCATGTTGGAAACGAAAAACAACTATTTACAATGTACGTCGAGGATAATATTTCCGTTTGTCTGCATTAAGAGAACGTTAGCTACGTTTCAAACAATTTCTCGCAATCACAGTGAAAATAGAATACGACATATTATTTTATAACTAGACACGAAGGAGAAAGCTCACTGTTCTCTCCAACATGGCGTCGAACTGACGGTAGTGACGCTACTAAAAAAAAAAAAAAAGACCGTCATAAATTACTAGTTATAAAAAAGTATATTTTACATGCTTCAAATATTACCTTTGCACACCGTGACCGCATATGATTTAGTATACAAATGGGTACTTATGCAGTTTGGTGGTACAGCTGCTTGAAAGGTTTTCTCCCATAAAACCATTCTAATTTGACTCGAACATTTCCAAAACACGTGGAATTTTTTAGGGATGATCCATGCTATAAACAAAAAATTGTAGGGTATACTTACCGAGTGTGAGCCGTTCGAAGACGTCACTGTTTAAGCTTGTTTTTGGTATACGCGTACGCGTGTTATGTGACAATTCTGGGTGTCATTTTCTCACGCGACGACTCACTCACCCATCTCTGACGTGTTTCCGGATAACTTCTCGCGGTAGAATTCGTTCTTTGCGCATTACAGTGCAGACGTAACGTGATAGATTTACATAATATTTCCTATCAAGATTTTTAGGAGTCTTTCCGCTCTCTTTGAAGCTTAATAACTCCCGTATCTTTAGTCAACAATTTCTGAAATTTTGCAGGTAGGTTTCTTTATTAGGGGAATTGATGATATTAAATTTTGGTGAATAAAGGTGGAAGAGGTGAGGTAATAATAGGAGTCGTACTTGTGAGAATACGGACGAGGGTCCAGGCCCTCTAATCGTCAGATCTGTTAGACCTGCTCACTTTGTCACTGGATGGGTTAATTTTTACAGAACCCGAGTGGTAAGATTCTGTGTGGGTTGTGCCTTACTGGAGGGGATGTCTATATGGGCTTTAAGCTGGAGGCTGGACGTCCCGATGGGTTGGCCTTATAGCATGTTCTATCTGGGATGAACTGCCCCTCTATGGCAAGGTCCTGGGAAACTGCCCCGAGCAGGGGCGGACTGGCTCTTAAAATTTTTGTTTGGAAAATTTATTACCAGCCCACAAATAAAAAAAAATGTATTTTTTTTCTATTTCTATTTAAATATATTCAAAATACAACATTGACAAAAAATACAATAAGCACAACTTCATATTCTACATGTACAATATTAATTTCTTATTTAGAAGTTTGCTTTTTTGAGCAATAATATTAATGACATCATCAGGATGTATTTCGTTTAAAAAAATCCTTCCCCACTGACATTAACACGAAGGCTTCTAGATTTAATTACAGATTATTGAACAACGATAATTCTTAGAAAGGTTGTGTCATTTGCACGGGTGGTGTGCAAAATTCTCAGATACCGGATGTGGAGGAAGAAAACAAAACATCTTGCTAAACTGTTAAGTGTCATAGCAGTTTTTACAGTATGTTGAAGTTTATAAACTTTTTTTGGTTATATTAATTTTATTCTAAATTTTTATCAAATTTTCCATTCTAATTGTAGTTGAATTAAATTATTTATTTAAGTAGTTTGAGGTAAAAAATTATATAAATCCATTTAAGAATACCTTCAGATTACGTATCTCCTTTAGGGTCGGACATAATGACGATTTTACTCGTTATTACCATTTATAATTTTTTATAAAATCAATTCCTACCCTTAAAATTAAGTTCTTTGGAATTTTATAATAATTAAATATTTTTAAAAAATTAATAAAATATGATAACAGATGGCGCCACTAAAATTTTAAATGTTGGTGTGTTTTTTTCCGGAAGTTACGATTTCCGTTTTAGTTTTGGTTTGCTCCTGTAAATACGTCGTAGATTAATTAAAAGACAGACATTTGCACGTGAGCTGGCAATAGAGTACAATAAGAGATTTCTAATTCTGCTACCATTAACATACGTTATTTTGGTGAGTGTATTGTCTAGTGTAATTGTACTTTACCGTTTATGAATGGTTAATATTCTTTAAGTTAAATAAATCGCTATTTATTATTGATTAATAATATCGATATACCCGACATATCTCTGTTCATATGACATCGGTTATATAATTTATTTTACTGTATTTGGTAAAGCACAGATTTGGCCTTCTATTTAAGACTTTTTTTATATGTGTGCTTTATTATTTATGTGGGCATGAAGTGCAGAGTATATTTAGTATGCTTTTTTACCCGTACGCACTACCCTTACATCGACGCCATGTTGGAATAGTAAGCATTCTTTCGCCACCATATCTTCATGTGTGGTTATAAAATTAATAATCGCGTTTTAATTTTTTACTGTGATTGTACGCGAGTGTTTTAAACGTAACTTACGTTCTCTTTAATACGGGAAAGCTGAAATATTAGCATCAACGCAGGTTATAAACAATTGTTTTTCATTTTAAACATGGCGTCGGAATGACGGTAGTGTGTGTTTACAAGACGTAACACCTTCTATACTTAAATAAAAAAGAAATTCTTATTGTAATTAGATGATATTTATATTTAAAATTTATGGTTTTACAGATTATACGATGGATCCCATTAGTATTGCTTGCGTGGTTGGATGTGCGTTAATCGCACCCTATGTAGTACCTGCAATTTTTGCAGCTGTGGGATTTACAGGAGCGGGTGTAGCTGCTGGTTCCGTCGCTGCAGGAATTCAATCGGCCGTGTATGGTGCTGCGGTTCCTGCAGGCAGTATTTTTGCAATTGCTCAAAGCATTGGTGCAGCTGGACTCGGTTATGCCGGTGCTGCTATCTACGGTACGATAGGTGCAGCGGCAGGCGCTGTCGTTAGTGCGCTGTGGTGATAATTACCATAGAGCTGTGTAGTATGTTAATGTACTGTAATTTTATCTGGAATTTAATAAACATTGACGTAATTTCCAGAAATGTTGTAATTGGTTTATATACTAAATGTGAACTGTATTTACTACAAACCATATAAGACCTAGGAAATCAAGAAAACCATGGCCGCCTGGATACCTGCCAGGTGACGTCACAACAGGTTTGGTGACGTAGAAGAGTGAATGCTTAAACGTATGCTTATAATCGTTAAAACAGAATTAAAATAAACTGTATATAGGGTTTAACGTAGACGTATAGTTTTTTGAGTCTGTTACACGTAAGAATATGATTGATTATATATTTTAAAAAGTTTGGAAAATAAATGTAAATTTCTATTTTATAATGATCTTAAGGTAATGACTAGAAGTGAAGAATGCTAATAATGAGACTGTGGACATTTGAATGGCTTCTAAATGATATAACGCATAATTTGTAAAGTTTATGCATCTTTTTTCGTAATAAAATAAATTGTTTACGATTTAGAAATAAAGTATTGAATTATTAAAAGACTATAGTCTTAGACTATACTTCTACCTTCAACCCTTTCTTCCTCCCACTCCCTCTCCCTTCTCTACCCCACTCCATGCCTTTCTTCCTCTTATGCCTAAGTCTACGGACAGCCCTCTACCTTTATTCCAGTCTTAGACTATACAGAACGAAGTTCGGGTCTCTTCAATACTTATAACTGTAAAGACACTTGAATCTTACAATAATTGTTCTGCAATTTGAAAAAAATTGTATACCTATAAATTCCCACTGTCTTTTCTTAATCTCGAGAACGTAGTTAGTTAGATGAAATCCGAGAGCAGATGTGGAAATTTTAGACATAGGAAGTACCGATTAACTATATACGAACTTCCGATACAAACCGGAAATTACGTTATTTCAATTCAAATATTCTCCCCCGAAAAGTGTTATATAGACGACTCTATTGTTAAAGGAAAAGTGTAATGTACAGGGGCAAGACACTACTAATTTAAGGTGGAGAACATATATTTTAAATGAAATAAATTAAAAATATGATTAAAAATTGTAGTCCGGCATTGTGATTTCTGCTTTCAGTTGGGTATTTTTGTAATATTTCTATAACCTCCTTCTTTAAGAATAATTTTCTTTAGTGTTTGCCTAACTGAAACAAACCTTATTATACCCTTCATTTGTTTATTGCACAAAAAATTTTGTAACAAAATTAAAAAATCAATATCAATATTATATAATAAAGGTAAGTGTACAATGTGCGTGCCGCTAAAACTCAAAAACGAGTCCCGGTACGATCAAGGGAGTTATATAGTGTGGTAGCCCTCTATCCCCCATGTAGAAGGTTCCCATTTATACCTGAAGGGCATGCTGTTGAAGATATAAGGGCTGGAAGTTAAGGCATACCCTGAAGAACTCGGCTTCTATTGTACTATTTTTAGATGCGATTTTTTGCGTTTTTGCCTGCGTTTTAGTAGGGTACCACGGGGGATGAAAGAAGTGTATTTCTTAACAATAGAAGTATTAAGAATGGAAGTATTAAGAATGGAAGTGTTAAGAGAAAGCAGCGTGCAAGAGTTACAGGAGCAGATGCGGTTTTTTTCGTTTTTGCAGGAAATCGAATATATTTTTAGACCCATGTAAAAATTTTCTAATTAGTCTGGAAACCAGGGACCTAATTCTTTCATTCTGTGAAAACGGGTAAGATTGACTATAATGTACAGTAGACCCCCTATAAGACGGGTTCATATAATTACGATTCCTATAAGACGGCGAAAAAATTGCGACGGTATCCGTAAAAAACGGTAAAAAAAAACTCTTATAAGTACGTAAAACGTCATCAGGCAGCCGAACTACTTTCCACCGTCAAGCGCCACGCTACGGAGAGTTTAGGCGAGTAAGTTGTTTACTATCGTCTGTACAGTATGTAAATTACGTATCGTAAGTCTAATACAGTACTGTAATTTTATACATTTCTTGTGAAAGAAACATTTCGTGTTCAACGGCCATAAAAATTATTTATATTAATGATGTCTCCAAAGTTCAACGAAGTTTTCGCAGAAAAATAAGTTATGAGAAATCGGCCGCGGTTTGGTGTGCTGCTCCGCGACGAAAACAAGCTTGAGCAATGGCGATGTCGAATGGTGCACACTCGGTAAGTAATCCTACAATTTTTTCTTTATAGCGTAGTTTATACGGATTATTCCCCAAAAAAATATACGTATTTTGGAAATGTTGAGTCGGATTAGTCTAGAATCGATTAATTTTATGGAAGAAAACCTTTCAATCAGCCGTAGTCCGTAAACTTCACACGTGTCGGGCTGTGATTTGCAAGGACTCGTAACAAATCGATTTATAAATAATGTAACGTATCTACCGTCTTATAGGGGGGGTCGACTGTAATTATCTTAATCTTCACTATCGTTACTTTTTGCCCGAGCAACGCCAGGTTCATCTGCTATTTTTCTATAAATGCGATATTTACGAGAACATACTTCCCATGTAAATTTTTTCATCTGTTTCAAAAATATAAACACTATTATCATATAAAAGCAATTATTATAGCATTTTTAGAATATTTTTATTTTATTTAAACAAGTCATATGAAGTCTTTTGAACGTTAACGTTAACAATTTCGTTCAGCTGCGGGGTATAACAACCTCTCTAACAAGGATCACTTTTTAAATATTAAAGACAATTTGACAGGGATACAAGATACGTGGGTACACAGCGTACATATGTTGGAAATGACGATATAAAGATGTGTTTCCTCGTAATCCTTTTTGTTACAGTACCACGAGTCACCACTATGAAAATACGTTAATCATTAACATTACCTGTAGTAATAATACATTATACATTACTGTATTACAGAACTGTATTCAGTATGTTTGTACTTTAATCCATATATACAGACATTCAAAAATGTACATGTCTATGATTTCAATTTGCCTACCGTATTTACCATTTTTGCAACTAATCCAGTCCACGAGCCGTTTTCAGTCTGATATCCAAAATATTTCGGTATTGGTTTCACAACAGAATAACTAAATAAATGAAATTAATTATACTCTGTGTTTATTCATTTAATTAATATCTTTTAGATTTACCTAAATTTTAATTTGTCTTGAATTGCTTTAAACACATGAAAGTAAAATCCGTCTATGATTTTTGTTTCCGTTTCGTCCAATCTCATTTAAACCGGTACCTGCAATGTGTAAACTACGTCGTAAACCATTAAAATCAGTTATAAGAAAAAGTCGTCTTACCTGAACACCAACAATTTTCCACGCATATGAATTGTTCTTTGCTCCTATGAAGAATTTTATGAGAATTAAGATTTTTATGTAAAGAATGTCTTATAGACAGAAATATAATAGAAAGAATATATACATTGAATACTTAAAAAATAAATAATCTATACATTAGTACGAAGAATCCATTTCTTTCTTACACAAGCTGTTCACTATACATTTATGCAGGCTCTTAGTTACATGCTGCAATCAAGTTACCTTAGTTGTGATGCTACGTTCACAGTAAAATAAGTAATTTATTCAAAATGGCTCGTGTAATTTTACGCGGAAATATGTACATATTTCAAGCTTAAGTAAAAGATACATTGAAAGTGAAATTTGAAAGTGCTCTCTTCACAAATCTTGTGGAGAAACACTCCTCCAATACCTTTGTGTCGTCATGCGCCTTGCTAGTTGATAACGTTGTCACAATGTCTTCTACCAGAGTCGGTAGATTATCTGGTCTTTCGAGTGCCTCTCTTCGCTATTTGCTAAAACCGACTAGAGTCAAATGTTACTACCAGAAGCACTGCAATCACTACAAGAGCTTGATGAAAAAATGTAACCGACAGGTAACATAACTGAAAAATCTGCAGGTCAAGTATGACTTGTGAACAGCTTTGTCGCATTGTTATATCATCAATATAACAAAACGCTGATTTCATATTATATCCATTATTGAAAAATAAACATCCGTGTTTAGTTCTGTTAACTGTACACGTACGTTGCTTGTTTTCCATTACTTCAATTGGCAAATCTTATGGCTCGGATATAACAAACTACCTCGAGATTTGATGGACGTAAACGTCTTGTCTGGTTCAGCATCTCATGGCTTTGCTGTCAATATATTTTTCATTCAACGCTGCCAAGTGATGGCAATAGAGAATAAACAATGTAACCTCCTAAATAGTGTATAATAAACTTTAACGCTTTTGGATCAAAATAATCACGATCTAATAATTCACTATCATTATGATCTCCATAGGATGGGTTCAAATTACAAAACAAATTTTGTAAATGTTTTTCAAGTTGTACTCGCAAGTTTGTAACTTGCAAATCTAAGGATTAATTGTATAATATTTCTTTATCAATCTTAAAGTATTTATACGGGGAGGCGGGCCACAGAGGGATAGTAGAGATTTTTGATATTTACTGCTCAACATAACAGTAATTATATATACAATAAAAAATTGTTTAGATCCTAATAAAAAGACATTATAGTTAATGGCTACAGTGAAATTATTCTACATAAGACTGCTCTTCAACGTGATGAAAGTTTAAACTTAAAAGTTCGAAAATTTATGAAAATATTTATCTAATAAATTGTAATAATAAAAAGCTTCGACATAATATAAATCATCCAATATTTACTTTTGTGTAAGAATAATAAATGAAGTTGAATACAATGTAAGTAGAGTATCTTCAGTTAGTAAGTCAATAAAAAATTTAATTCTTTGCTAATTTACTTTCCTCAGTTCCAGGAAAAAAAAAAGAAAAACCTAAAATTTTAGTATGAAATTTAAAGTTAAAGTAATGATACTGGATAAAATTTACGTTAATTATTTTTACTTTCCATTGCTACAAATAGAGAAAAGAAACAGCCTTAACAACAAGAATACCTGAAAAAACTTGAAACCCATTTATTTATAATTAAGTAAGCTAAATGAGAAAATAATATAAGAAATTTCTAACAGATATCGAACTTAACAATTCTTGCAATTACAGTTTCGTAAACCCTTACTAAAGTGTTTAAAGTCTATTAGATTGTACACGTAGGAAAATATAAATAGATCTGGTGAAAGTGGAAAGCAATGTAAATCAATTTTGTATTAAAAGCTTTTAAAGTAAGCACGAACACACTCCAATTCACTTCCAAAGATTAAAATCGTACTGAATACTTTTTTATTATTTTGCACGTTATAGAATATAAATCAAAACAATACCAGAAAATATCTCAAATAATATAAACCGATATTTAATATCCAATTTATATAATGAAAAGTTTATCCATTAGAAATTTATAAATATTCAATGCCGACACGCGATATTTCCTGATTAATTTATTCATTTCACGATTACGACGTTCAAGCAATGTAAAAGGAAATATTCAATACAGTAGAGCGTCGTTTATCCGAACCAATTAAGGACTGAGGTTGTTCGGATAACTTATTTTCGGATAACCGATTATGCACGAAAAAATATCCCGTGTTGAAATTTTTCTCCATTGCGTGTCGCTTTGCGTTGAATTTTCGTCGATGTTAAGCCTAACGTAAACTTTTTAAAATAATAATCGTGGTTATTGTATCGTTAAAAATTATTTCTTTATCTTTTACAAACAAAATAAATATATTAAAAAATATAAAAACAAAAAAAAATTATNTTTGAGAAATGGAATAATTTTCGCAGCTTTAACGGATTACCCTTGTTAATTTGCATATTAGCTAGGTAATCTGCAGATTAACGGATTTCGAGCTTTAGCGGTAACATATACATTTTTATAATTAAATGTATATAATTCTCATCGACTCCTTGGTTTTCCTGATTTAAAGTTCTCGGGAATTTCGAAGGCATCCCATGTTAATAATGTATATACAGGCTTAACTATCAATTTTTTTAATTACTTTTTCTTATCCTTAACAAAAACTCCCAAAAATATTTTAAAATGAACACTTAATATGATATATTTTATTTAGTGTTTTAAACTTATAAACATAACCTTATAATATTTCCAGGAATTTCAAGGCATACGTATAGATGCTGGCGTACGTATGGATAGACCTCATAGTGGAAGTTTATACACAATCTATCCTTATTATGATTTTTTGTTTGTATTGTCTTCAATACCGGGTATGTTAAATATTGAATGTATTGTTTTTCTTATGTATAAAAATATTTTATATAAAACGTAATATTTTATACATGCATGCACACGCATACACACATATACTATATACAGTATATATATATATATATATGCACTATAGATTTTAATTGTAATGTTTTTTGATAATTTATTGAGAAAAAAGGTTGAAATATAAAAGATTTAAATAAGATTCCAAAACTTTAATATCTAACCAATCTTAACCTAAATCTGTATACATAAAAATGAATATATGTAGGTCTGCCCTTCAAGCATTATTGCACCATTTATCCGATTGCCATGAAACTTTGGTAAGTTGTTTAATACACTTCCGCGAAGGTTTCTGGAGTAGTACGTTTATCCTACGATAGGTGGCACGCGTGTATACGAGTATTTCACCACCGTTAAGAGTTGAAACTTGAAATTTGGTACACAGTTAGGGTAGGCTACGTCACGAGAACGCACACTAACAAAAGATTTTTTGAAATTCCCCTTCCCTCTCCCGCGAGGAAAGGGACAGGATTAATTAAAATGGGGAATACCTCAACTTCCCAACTTTAATGATGACTTTATGTTTATTTCTATTTGTAAATGATTGTTTCAAATATGCATTTGTCACGTCTTTTCGTGTATATTTACACACGAACAGAATAATGCACCATGAATAATGCACCACAAAGGCTTTAGAAAGGCAGCCATGTCTCCAGTAAAAGCAACATAAACATTTTTAATGTGTTTTTTTTTTATTAATTTTTTGAAATATTTATGATGACTAACGGTTGATTAAAAAATTATTTTTATGAAAGTTTAATTTGGAAGAAAATTTTGTAATTATGTATGATTTTAATTTATAGTATTTTTAAAATTTTAGGATTGGTATCATTTCGTGAACCATCAGGAACCTATTTTTTTGAATTACTTACTGCAGTATTGAGAGAAAATGCACATAAGATGGATCTGTTAAGTATGTTAACAGTTGTCAATAAGAAGATAAGTTTAAAGTTCGAATCGAGTAATGAAAAGATACAAGTTCCTCACATTCTTTCCACCCTACTTAAAAAATTATACTTTTTATGTGATAATGAAAAATAGAAAGAAGAATTTATCAGTGCATTTTAAAATTTTCTATTATAAACGTATATTTTTTAATAACATAATTCAAGATACTGTATTTTAAATTGGTTTATACTTAAAGATACTTTATATATAATCAATTTACTTTCAATTGCAATTTAAAAATTGTACCTTGTGTTATTTGTTATTATTGTTAAAACAACATACCTTGTAGAATCTTTAATCTGTAAAAGTATAATATAGAGATTTATTTTTAAAGCAATCTGGATATGCTATTGTTCTTACATTATTATAATGGTAATATATTAATAAAATAAAAGTTATATAAGTTCATTGGATCTTATTTTTCGACGGTTTAGTGGATCTTTCTTTATGCTCTAAAATAACTTTCCTGGCTTGTGGTCAGGAATGAATTCCTGTAATCTTTACTGATATGAAAGACTCGGATCCATTAGAAGACCCCATAATAATAGCAGAAAATTTGGTTTTCGTTGTTAAATCATCCATGTATTCGGTGCAATCCACCTGAGTGTTATGACGTTTTGAATTATAATAACGACGATCGATATCTGAAATCATTTCTTTTGTTTCTTTTTCCATTTCTTCTCTATCGGGAAGGAATACATTCTTTTTGAGAACTTTTACAAAACACCTGCATTGCATTTCAGAAATACGAAATGCACCTCTGTAAGGCTGAAATAAATCAATGGATGCTTTAAATGAAAAGGAAATCTTAATAATGAACTAAATGATCTAAATTCCTCTCTTTGACGATTAATAACAAAAATGTATTTTGACATTTTCGGGTGTTGTTTTTTTTAATATAAAGCCAGACAGTTGCTTCATAAGTTCACAGAGTTTGGTGAATTTCGGTTCAAGTATGGAAAAGTAACCCGTGTTCAAATAAAGGAACCATATTTACCCCACTACGTTACCTACCTCTTTGATTGACTACTGTAACTGCATGCCTGGTTTCTCTACCGATTGAACCAATTGTCCTTCCTTTTCGTTCATATGTTAGCAGTTACGCTGCCATCGCAAATTTTCAACTTTTATGTAACTATTTCAAATATATTTTTATTATCCGAATCAAACAACTCACCGTCATTCCAACGCCATGTTGGAAACGAAAAACAACTATTTACAATGTACGTCGAGGATAATATTTCCGTTTGTCTGCATTAAGAGAACGTTAGCTACGTTTCAAACAATTTCTCGCAATCACAGTGAAAATAGAATACGACATATTATTTTATAACTAGACACGAAGGAGAAAGCTCACTGTTCTCTCCAACATGGCGTCGAACTGACGGTAGTGACGCTACTAAAAAAAAAAAAAAAAACCGTCATAAATTACTAGTTATAAAAAAGTATATTTTACATGCTTCAAATATTACCTTTGCACACCGTGACCGCATATGATTTAGTATACAAATGGGTACTTATGCAGTTTGGTGGTACAGCTGCTTGAAAGGTTTTCTCCCATAAAACCATTCTAATTTGACTCGAACATTTCCAAAACACGTGGAATTTTTTAGGGATGATCCATGCTATAAACAAAAAATTGTAGGGTATACTTACCGAGTGTGAGCCGTTCGAAGACGTCACTGTTTAAGCTTGTTTTTGGTATACGCGTACGCGTGTTATGTGACAATTCTGGGTGTCATTTTCTCACGCGACGACTCACTCACCCATCTCTGACGTGTTTCCGGATAACTTCTCGCGGTAGAATTCGTTCTTTGCGCATTACAGTGCAGACGTAACGTGATAGATTTACATAATATTTCCTATCAAGATTTTTAGGAGTCTTTCCGCTCTCTTTGAAGCTTAATAACTCCCGTATCTTTAGTCAACAATTTCTGAAATTTTGCAGGTAGGTTTCTTTATTAGGGGAATTGATGATATTAAATTTTGGTGAATAAAGGTGGAAGAGGTGAGGTAATAATAGGAGTCGTACTTGTGAGAATACGGACGAGGGTCCAGGCCCTCTAATCGTCAGATCTGTTAGACCTGCTCACTTTGTCACTGGATGGGTTAATTTTTACAGAACCCGAGTGGTAAGATTCTGTGTGGGTTGTGCCTTACTGGAGGGGATGTCTATATGGGCTTTAAGCTGGAGGCTGGACGTCCCGATGGGTTGGCCTTATAGCATGTTCTATCTGGGATGAACTGCCCCTCTATGGCAAGGTCCTGGGAAACTGCCCCGAGCAGGGGCGGACTGGCTCTTAAAATTTTTGTTTGGAAAATTTATTACCAGCCCACAAATAAAAAAAAATGTATTTTTTTTCTATTTCTATTTAAATATATTCAAAATACAACATTGACAAAAAATACAATAAGCACAACTTCATATTCTACATGTACAATATTAATTTCTTATTTAGAAGTTTGCTTTTTTGAGCAATAATATTAATGACATCATCAGGATGTATTTCGTTTAAAAAATCCTTCTCCACTGACATTAACACGAAGGCTTCTAGATTTTCTTGCGAGATACTTATAAGTATCTTAGCCTGCTTTTAATTAATTTTAACATAGAAAAGCTTTGTTCACCGGACACTTGTGTTACAGACATAGATAGCAGATATTTGTATGCTTGACCAAGTATAGAATAAGCGCCACTTAACATGTTATATCTGAATAATATATTATAACAACAAATAGAGCAATTTTTGCAAGCAATGCAGTAAGAGGATAAAATCGCATCTTTATTAGTTTCTACTTGATCATCAGTAGAATGTTCATTTTCGTTTAATTTTATAAAAGTTTCATTGACATTTTCCTTTAAAATATTCCATGACGATTTAAAATGTTGCAATTCTGAAATAATATTGTGTTGAGTAGCTACTGGATTAAACTGTATTAAAATACTGCTTAAT